AACTGCCAGCCAGCCCTCTACTGCTCCCCAGGAGCAGTCTGCCAGCTCCCAGGAGCCTGACAGGGGCTGGAGAAAGTGGGCTCCTTCCCAGCCCAGGGTGGAGATCATGGACCTTATTCAGGTTGGGGGGGGATGCCCCGAATGTCCATGATCTCCGCACTAGATGGAGCAACATGGCCGTCTATGAAGGATAGCTGCCAGCCTGTCCTCCAAAGGCTACATGCGATCCCAGGAGCAGGTTTGCATGAAAATCAAGTTGGCCCGGTGAGACCCCCAACCCTGAGCTTCCCCTCCCCCTTTTTCCCCTTGCTTCCTCCTTCTAGCTCCCTCCTCCCAGGTTTCCCCTTCCCCTCTCTCTCACCCTCTGTCTTCCTTTCTCCCACCTCCTTTTCCCAGTCTCCCCAGAGGTTCATCCCCCACCCCAGTTTTGTTCAATAAACCCAGTTTCTATTTTTGAACATACATGTTTTTTATTTGACATCAGGAAGGGGGGCTAGGGAGGGGTAAGTGGAAGGGCGTGACAGAGGATGGGGCACGAGCTCCCGGAGGGGAGGACTGGGGAGGCTCTGAGGACTCCTCGGGGTGGACACTCTCCCTCAGGGCCTCCTGGATCCTGACAGTCCCCTGACGAACCCTCCAGATGGCAGACTGCAGCAAGCGCAGCTGGGCTGATGGCATTGACCCCACGATGCACCGGCATGCCCAGGGGCAGTTCTGGCTCCATGTGGCCGAGTGCCACTCAGGACACTCCAAGACAGGACTGCTTTGCTGTCCCTCATCGAGGTAGACAAGCAAGCAGGGAACCCTGAGAACTGTCTGTCCGGGGTTGGAGTAGGGTCCCTTTAAGCACAGAGCTCAGTTAGCCTCAGGCAGCAGCCCCACACACTAAATCCTAACCTGATGCCCTGCTGGCACTGGTTCCAGACAGCCTTAACTGCGGTTCAGGGTCTACTCAGTGTGGACGTGCTATTTTAAAATAGCAAAAGGCTATTTCAAAATGCATTTTCAGTGTAGACACATTATTTTGAAATTAGACATTTCAAAATAACACTGTAGTGTAGACATACCCACTAGGATTAGTAAATTCCTTCCTAAGCATGTCTGATTGTCATGAGATAAATCAGATAGGATGTACAGTAGCAAATGTAAAAATATGCTCTGTGTAGGTTTATCAGCTCCAGAGGGCCTAAAGATAACTCAAGTAGATTAGGATAGGATTTGTTTTGTGGTGAGAAGCCATTCACTAGATAACCCCCCCCCCCCCCCCCCCCCCACCAGATTCCGGAGCATTTTTCCCATAGCGGTATCCATAGGGCCAGCAGGGAGCCCCCTGGAGTGGCGCTGGTATACTGGTGCATATATACCCCTGCTGGCCCTCCCACCCCTCAGTTCCTTCTTACCGCCCGTGACCAGTGATAAAAAGTATTGTTCTTCTTCGAGTGCTTGCTCATGTCCATTCTGATTAGGTGTACGCGCGCCGCGTGCACGGATTCCGGAGCTTTTTTCCCTTAGCAGTACCCATAGGGCCAGCAGGGAGCCCCCTGGAGTGGCGCCGGTATATCGGTGCATA